AAGAGCAAATGAGACACGGACACGAAGCTCTCAGCCCAGATCCCACGACACATGGTAGGTCCGCAGCAAACAGCAGTCACTGTCCTGATTACCAGTGCCTGGGACTGACCACTTGCCAGCATGTCCCTTCTTCTGTGGCCACCCTGCCCCCACCCCGGAGGTCTGACCAGCACACTCTGGCATGCCGGGCACTGCCACAGGCCCTTCACGCCAGCTCGGGAAGGTCTGTGCTGCAGGATCTGAGGAAACCGAGGCACAGAAGACTGGGGACACATGGCTAGTAGTGGCAGCCTTCTACCCCCCTGAGGCTTCCTTTCGACTTTCCAAATTTGGCCTTGTTTATCCCTTGCACTGTCTGAAATAGCGTGTGTCTCCACTTGCTTATTTTTGTAGCAGTAGCGAGTGGCAGGAAGCACGAAAAAGCGGAGAGCTCTGCCCGGCCCCCGCAGCCGCATATCATGCTCTGGCGAAGGCGGGCCTGACGATAAGCTCCTTAATAGGAATGACAATACCTGCTGTTCTGCTGCTGTGGCCAAGTTGTCAGAGGAGACGGCAGGCCCCTTGCTGCATAGTTGCAGGGTGGAAATCCCTGATGCTGGGGGTCCTTCAGGTGCCTGCTCTTCCCAAGCACCCAGAAAGAAGGAGACTCGGGAGGGCCGCTGGGGCCCTGCTGTGCAGCCAGGAGGGGGGCTGAGGCACACCAGCCCGCCTCTGCAGCCCCTGGAGTCCCCAGCTCACTTAATAATTAAATACCCAAGGAGGGAGGAACAGCGTGGTCGGGGGCTGCGGGGCGGTCTCCCTTCCATTGGCATGGAAAATGAGGTGGTCTAGGTAGGTGCACGGAATCCTCATGGGGGGCCATGTTGGGGGGAAGCCTTGCTCCCTAGCAAGACCGCAGTGATCCACGTGTGAGAAGGGTCCAGAGGCTGGGAGAGGCCCGGTTCGCGGTTCAAGCCCACCCCTGCTGCTTAGCATCCCTAAGGGCAGATGCCTCTTCAGGGAGTTCGGCCCACCCCGTTCCCGACTTCCAGGCCTCACTTGTGGGTGAGAGCCACCTGCCCTCTCACCAGCCCTGGGCTCTGAGCTGCTGCAGCTGGACCCAGCCAGGGAGGCCCCTGCCTTCTAGGTGGGCAGCTCCCCACAGGGGGGCTCAGGGCTGGAGGCCTGGTGGGGGGGCTCCTAAGGAGGAGATGGATTCCTAGGAACTGAGAAGCCAGGATCCCAGATGGCCCCCTTGGCCATCTTCATTTCAGCCCACGTGGAGGCTGAGATTGTGTAGTCAGGACGCCTGTGCTGGTGGAAGCTTTCACCAGTAGCTGGGGTCTCAGCCCTGCCTGTCACAGGCATCTGCAGTGCCCCACCTGCAGGATGGGAGACCCCCAAACCGACACCTTGTTTCTGGGACGCTCTGACCAGTGCTGGGGTAGAGTGGGGACGGGAAGATGGGCAGGGCTCATTGGGAAAGGGGCAGGTGGGCACATATGACAGTTGTCCCCTGAAGCTCCTGGAACCACCAACTCTGGGCCACACAATGTCCCCTTTTTCTGTAGAATAGTAGCCTTGCTGGGAGGACCAGCTGAGACTGTTAGAAAGGGGAACATGAAGGAACAGTGGCCTTGAGTGGACAGAAGGGACAAATCAGGCTGGCTGAGATGGGGGGTGTCAGGGACATGGGCTTGGGGGGTCATCCCCCCTGTGTGGGCTTATGCTGCAATCCTGCCCTGGAAGCACGTCACCAGGGCAAGGCAGAGCCAGCTCCAGGTTCTATGGACAGCAGGCCAGGCACTGGGTGGGCCAGGCGGGCGAGCCTGGCACTGCTCATGGCCTGACCCACGCCAGTTGGAGCTTGGAGAACTGCCTTCCGCTGCCCTCTCCCGGCTTGGCTTCCGCGGAGGAGGGGCTCAGCTCCGTCGGCAACATTCCCTGACTGGGGCCACCGATGCCTCTGCCCTGGTCTCTCTCCTTAGGGCCATGGAGTGGGCAGGTTCCTCTCAGGAGCTTCCACCAAAGGGGCTGGGGTCCTAGGCAGCCTGGCTGGGTCTCTTCCGGGAGCTGACCAGAGGCAAGGGGAAGGCCTGGCCCTCGTGGAGGCTGTGTCCTGGGAGGGCTCCCAGCCTACTGCTGGGTACAGAGAGGCCTCGGGCATGGGGAGCTCAGGACAGAGAGGGCAGTCTGGAGTAACAGGAGGTGAAGGAGCCACCCTCTCCAGGGAGCCTCTATGTGGACACACTGTGTTTTCATGGGTGGGGACTATGTTAGCCAGCACAGGCCTGGCACAGAGTAGGTGGAAACTAAGGTTCCCGGGGCAGTGGGGGGCCCTGGCAGGTGACACATGGCATCGGCCTAAGCAAACAGAGGACAGCCTAGCTGACCATCGCTCCCTCTGGCAGAGGAGTGGACAGCCTAGCAGGAGAAGAAGCATGCCCCGGGCGTGCACAGACCCGGCCAGAGGAGCAGACCCGAGAGCTGGAGGCAGAGAACAGATTGCACAGGGGGGCTGCCCAGCACTGGGGCTGCCCGTCCTGGGACTCCAGCTGCCTTTGGTCATCCTCACTGTGGGAACAGAGACCATAGTTAGGAGGGTGGGTGTTAAGCCTTCCTCACTGCAGAATATAAAATTTTATTGATATACATTTTATTGTCTTTTATAAAACTTCCTTTGGCTATACTGGGCCACAATGCTGTTAGGTGGGCACCACGGTGCCAGTCCTGGGTGGCCAGCATAAAGCTAGTGCCCACTTTCAGGTGGGGGTTAGAGTCAAGACACTTTGTCCAGGAGCTGCCCACATGGTCCACAGTGGCCTTGAGGACACATCAAGTGCCCTGGGAGGCTGTCCTAGACTGTCCTGGAGTCAGGAAAGGCAGTCACCTACCTAAGGTGGCTGAAGCTCCTCCCTGTCACAAGCAGCTCACCATGACCAGAAACTCCCCATTAAAGTCACCAAGCGGTTCATCAAGGGTGCAGGAAGACTTAGCTACAAGACATGTTAATCAGACCCTCTTCCAGCAGCACCGTGTCCTCCGGGTTAGCTCACTGATTTGCCTTGAGAGGATGGAAGGTCGAGAACAGTCCTCTAATGGTGGTGGGGGGCACTGCTGGCTGGTGGGGGACGGTGCTGGCTAGGTCACTTTCACGGGTGGGGCGACTAGAGGGGCAGAAGGTGGAAGGTCTGGGTGACCCCCTCCTCTCCTTTCCTGACCAGCCTGGGCGAGGAGGGGCCCCACCACTTGGGGTCAACTCTGTACAATGGGTCACTAAAGGAAGAGAGTGGCAGGGGGACATGGGCAGCGGCCACAGGGTTGCTGCTCAGTCTCTCAGCCGCCCCCGGAGCCTCCAGCCCAGGGAGAAGGAGGCACGGGATGGGGAGGCTAGAAACAGACCTGTCCCCTCCCATGTGGGCACCGAGGCAGCTGCCTCATTCCTCTCCCAAGGTAGGGGGTCTCCGGAGGCCACTGGCCGCCCATGCCCCTGCTTCCCCCGGGCGCTGGCCTCTCAGGATGCATTCCCAGAGGGGCACTGCATCTCCATGGTGACCGTGTTGGGCGTGCCGCCCCCGGCCTCCCCCAGCTCGGCGCCGTCCCGCAGGGCACGCTGGAAGACCACCCTGAGAGGCTCCCACAGCCGCTGTGACTTGTCCCTGCCAGCCAGGAAGTAGATGACGGGCTTGGCACTGCTGTTGATGCAGATGCACAGGTCGGTGACGTACTCAGGGAAGGGGGCTGGGATCTGGAAGACCCAGAAGAGGAACCAGTCGATCCCTAAGTAGATGGAGGACACGAGGAAAACCGAGACCATGGCCAGGATGACGTGGTTGAGCTTGGCAGACCGCTGGCGCCGCCGGGCCCGGCACTCCACGTGCAGGATGAGGGCCAGGCAGGGCAGCACCATGAGTGGGCAGAAGAGGAGGAAGAGCAGGATGCCCAGGAAGATGTCCATGTGCCTGCAGGCCACGCCGGAGGCCTCGTGGCCCAGGGACCCACAGAAGTAGCTGTGTATGCTGGTGACCAGGAGCGACAGGATCCAGAGCAGGGCACACACCACAGCCGACAGGCGCTTGGGCCGCCGGTGCCAGTACCAGGCGGGAAAGATGACCGACACACAGCGCTCCGTGCTGATGGCTGGCAGGAGGCTCACGCCAGCGACAAATGTGCAGAGCCCCACGATCTGGGACACGCTGCGGACATAGTCGGCGAACGTGCCCACAAAGCCCCCCGTGTTGAGGATGGAGAACACGGCCTTGCTAAAGAGGTAGCCGACGTCGGCGCTGGCCAAGTGCAGGAAGTAGATGGAGAAGGGGTTCCTCTTGATGGAGAAGCCGAAAAACCAGAGGACCAGCCCGTTGCCCACCAGGCCACACAGGCAGAGGAGCAGGAAGATGTAATTCATGACGGCAGGGGGCGGCAGCATGGTGATCTGCTCTATGGTCAGGAAGCCGCGGCTGTACAGCTCTGGGGCCTCACTCACGCCGGGACACATCTGTGCAGGGCACGAGGGGAGACACCTGTGAGGCTGGCTGGGCCGCACCTGCACAACTGCACCTGGGTCCCAGTTACAGACGGTGGGGTCTGTAGGGTCACTGGCTCTGGAGCAGCTAGCTGACTGAAATAGGGGCAGAAAACCTCTGTGACTAATGCTAGCACTCTGTGTCCCAGGACACCAAATGGCATGCCTACCAGAGCCAGAGTAATGACAGGCAGTCGCTGGTAAGGACCCTCGGCTGCCCACTGGTCAGAATAAACTGGTCAAAAATGTCCATGTCACAGGGCCGGCCCGGTGGCGCACTGGAGAGTGTGCCTCTTGGGAGTGCGGCGGCGCTCCCACTGAGGGTTCGGATCCCATGTGGAGACCGGTTCCCGCTCACTGGCTGAGCGCGGTGCGGGCGCAACACCGAGGGTTGCGATCCCGTTATCGGTCAGTAAAAAAGACAAAAAAAGGAAAAAAAAAATGTCCATGTCATGCAAGATAATGAAAAGCTGAGGGGCTGGCCAGTTAGCTCAGTAGTTTAGAGTGCGGTGTTATAACACCAAGGTCAAGGGCTCAGATCCCTGAAATGGCCAGCCACCAAAAACAAAACAAAACAAAACTGAAAAGCCTTTCCAGATTGAAGGGGACCAGAGAGACATGACTAATAAACGCAGTGCTGCAATCCTAGGTTGTACCCTGGTCCAAACCATTGCGCAGAGGATATTATTGGGACAATTGGTAAAATGTGAATATGGACTGTGTATAGATAACATTACTGCATCAATGTCAAATTTTCTGAATATGAAAAAACGAACTGTGGCTATGTACAGGAATGTCCTTGTTCTTAAAAGACACAGGCTGTTTGGGGGTAAGGAGGCTTGGTGTCTGCAATTTACATTCAGATAGTTCTGGAAGAAAAGTCTACCTATCAAGAGATACATAGAGAAAACAAAACATAAAAAAACAAACAAAAAAATGTAAAAAAGAGAAAAAAGAGATACAGAGAGAAAGCACTCGTGGTGAAAGGTGAACGGTGAGTGAGTGGAGGTGGAGGCTGTATGAATGTGCCTTGTAGTAGTACTCTTGCAAATTCTTTTCAACATGAAAATATTTATTTAAAGAAATAAAATCACATGCAAATTAAAAAGAAAAAGGAGTGGACCCTGGCTGTAGCTGGAGCAGGACCCCGTCCCACAGTGGGATCAGAGCAGCTGCCTGCTGGGCCGCGGGTGCCCTTTGGGTTTCTGGATTGTGGGAAAGTCGAGGGGGTCCCCTGGGTGGGGAAGAGGCAGCGGCTACTTCTCAAGCAGTGTTTTAACAATTGGTCTGGCTGTAAGACTGCATCCCAGCTGAATACCAGTGCTGCCCACAGGGGCCGGGCTGGCATATACATACACAAAGCAGGGCCAGGTGCAAGAAAATGGCCAGTGGTGGGCATAGTGGCAAACTGGAGAGCACCCATCTGAGCAAAGTGGGCAGCCTCCTCTCTCCAGCTGGTGGGCACCATCCGGGACCTGCAGGCCGAATGGCTGATCTTCCTCCCCCTCTACAGAGAAGCCCGAACTATCCTTATCTTTAAATGTTAACATTTAAAACACACTGTGCGGTGAAACGCAACCTATCTGCAAGCTGGGCTCGGTTCTCAGGCTGTCGTGTTTGACCTCTCCTTCCCAGCAGCAGAGGCTGCGGCCCTGAGCACCTGAGCACGGCCGCTGCCCTTCCTGCACCCCGGCAGACATCGCTAACCCACCCCAGCACTCTCTCCCCGAGCTCTAGCCGAAAGCTGAGTCCTGAGAGGTGGCTCTAGGCTTGACACCCTGTAAAGAAAGGAAGGACCTTCTGGCCAGGCTCAGGTCAAGGGGAAGCTGCAAAAAAGGGACTGGAGGTGTTGGCAAAACCTTGGGAGACTCTGAGACCCTACTCACCACCTGTCATCCTCTAAATACATTTATCGGCTCATCCTCTCTGTCTGTTGCCCCCCAAACCCAGCTGCTCAGCTTGCTCTGGGCATTCCTTTTCTGTGGGTGACATTGACGACTCCAGGCCTTGGACGCCCTTATCAGCTGGGGAACCAGACCCAGTAGTTTGTAAGACCCAATGTCTAAACAGGCCCGGGAGGACTAGCTCAGCTGCTGGGGCAGAACTGGGCTTCAGGGGCTGGATGGGATGAGGGCAGATCACTCAGGCTGGAAAAAGTCTGCAATCCCCCCTTGGAGTCAGAGGGGGAGGCGGGTGAGTCACTGGGCGTGTAGCTGCCGCTGCCAGCCACATACCGCCTTGTAAAACGCCTGCCCTAGAGCCTGCTCCCTGCCTGAGCTCGGTCTCTTTTCTGGGGATTTCTGGCGACTCCCCCAGCCAGTCCAATCTCTGCCTCTCGTCGCTGCCATTCCACAGTGGACACTGTAGGGAGGAGAGAAAGGACTGAAGGGCATGGGGGGGAGTCTGGGGGGCTGGGCAGGAGTCCCCGTTCTGTCCCCGACCTGTGGACTGACCACAGTCAAGTTACTACCCTAGTGTAAGCCTCGGTTTCCTCAAATGTACAAGAGGTTGAACTAGGTAGATTTGGGAGGAGGGGTCCTTCCAACTTGAGAGAGTTTTGCCTGGGATTCAGAAGGAAATTCCAGACTTTCCAAGGCTCTCAAAGAAGGAGGGGACTGGGTAGGGCAGAAGGAGGTGGGTCAGCCTGGAGGGTTGATGAGCCTCATCCAGGGCTGGGACTGCAGAGGGGAGGTCAACCAATGACTAACAGACCTTGACCTGGGGCAACACTCCTAGAGTGGCCCAGAGTGCAGCACACGATATCAGGGTCACCCTGGAGCCGGCATCTAGGGCTTCCTGGCAGGGCCTGGCTGTAGTTAATAGCTGACCGCACCATCTCTGCAAGGAGATATGAGATGAGACGTTTCAAGGCTGCTAAAAGATGACCCCGGGGACTTTGAGGGTGTCCAGTCCCTGTGCTTGCCTCACTGATGAGGTCCTAGGATCCGAGGAACCAGGTAACCAGTGTCAGGCCACATAGCCCAGAGGGGACTGCCACCCACTGCTGGTGCAGAGCTAGAGGGTGGTGTCTGGGAAGTGGGATGTGGGAGAGGAGGTGCTAGGCTGGGTCTGCCCCTCACCCACACTCATCTGTCTGGGCAGACACAGACCCCTCTGCCTGGCACTTGCCTTGTTCCTGTTGGTGGGATGGGCCTCCCAGGAGCAGTTTCCTGCCATCTTCAGGCCTGGAGTCCAGGTTCCTGTTCGCAGCACAGCAGCCTGCACGCCCACCTGGCAAAAAGCCCAGAGAAAGGGTAGAATGAAGGCAGCAGGGTCCCACCTAGAGCTGCTCTCCAACCCAACCCTCACTGAGAGACGCTCCACCACCCAGATCCCTGACCCCAGGTCCCCAGGGCCTTCCAGGCCTGTGGCTTTCTGCTGTCACCATAGAGCAATGGCAATCACCCAGCTCCCTCAGAGGCAGGGGCTTGGTGGGACTGTCCTGGTGAGATTCTGGAGCTGGTCACCCTCACGGGCACGGCCCCCTCCTGCCTGTGGACCCCGAACACCCTCCGCAGACAACTGCTGACCCCTGGAGCCCCACCGCCTCTCACTGGGGAAGAAGCCCTCTCCTTCCCCCTTGGTCTGCAAGATTTCTAAGCCAGACTGCTTCTGGAGACGTACATTTATTTACCCACACACATTTTCTGGGCATGTCTTTTGTGCCCGGCCCAGAGTGGGGCAGGTGTTCCCAGCAATCAGCCCCAGAAGGGGGAGCAGGGGAGGAGAGATCATTTCTGGCACAGGGGACTGCCTGGAGGAGGAGGTCTTTGCTGGGCCTTGTGTTTGTAATGTGCAAAGGTGTCTGGTCTTTCCCCTACAGGTGCCTGGAAGGCAGGACAGCCTAGACATCAGCATCATCATCGCCACCTCTGCCAACCCCAGTGTCAACAAATGCCAGCTGGGCATATGGCAGTGGCCTACACCCAGGGCCCTGTTTGGTCTTCGTTACCAGCTATGAGGCAGGTATCCTCAATTCCCTCTGATGGGTGTACCTAGGCTCGGGGGTGAGGTCACCTGCCAGAGGCACGCCATAACCACCGCACTGGCTGCAGCTTTGCAGATTTGTGTATGGCCATGACCACAGCGGCTGCAGAGGGGAGGGGCAGCTGGAGGGTGCGAGCCAGGAGGCCACCGTGG